CACATGGAACATATTCTAGATAGACCACATGTTGGACACAAAATAAGTCTCAATTTATTTAAGAATATTGAAATCATATCAAGCATCTTCTCTGACCACAATGCTATGAAACTAGAATTCACAAGATGGAAACAAAAAAATACACAAAGACATGAAAGCTAAATAACATATTATTAAGCAATGAAGAGGTCAACACTGAGATCAAAGAAAAAATCAAAAGTTACCTCAAAACAAATGAAAATGAGAACACAATACCCTAAATGTGGGGGACACAGCTTAAGCAGTCCGAAGAGGAAAATGCACAACATTACAGGTCTATCTTAAGAAACAAGAAAAGCTCAAATAAACATCTTAACCCTACATCTAAGTGACTAGAAAAAGAATAACAAACACAGCCCAGAGTGGTAGAAGGAAGGAAATAGTCAAGTTTAGAACAGAAATAAATGTCACAGAGACTGAAAAGGAAAAAAAAAACAATTTAAAGGATAAATGAGTCCAGGAGCTGGTTCATTGAAAAGATAAACAAAATCAATGAACCTTTGACCAGACTCATCCAGAATAAAAGAGAGAGGACCCAAATAAAATCAGAAATGAAAAAGGAGGAGTAACAACTGACACCATAGATACAGTAGACTGCAAGAAAATGTTACAAAAAAACTATATATCAACAAACTGGACATCTGGACAAAATGGATAAATTCCTAGAAATACACAATCTTTGAAACTAAATCAGGAAGAATAAGAGAATCTGAGTAGACAGATTACACCTAGTGAAATTGAAGTAGTAATCAAAAAACTCCCAACAAACAATATCTCTGGACCAGATGGCTTCAAAGGAGAACTTTTCCTAAACATTCCAAAAAGAAATAGCACCTCTCCTTCTCAAACTATCAAAAAAATTCAAGAGGAGGGAAGACTCCCAAGTTCACCTTATGAGGTCAGCATAATCTTAATTCCAAAACCATATAAAAACACTTCCATAAAAGAAAATTATAAGCCATACCCATGATGAATGCCATTAACAAAATATTAGCAAACTGAATACAGCAATACATCAAAAAGATCAAACACCAAGTTGGGTTTATGCTGGATATGCAAGTTTGCTACACTATTCACAAATCAGTAAATATGATATACCACATAAGCAAAATGAAGGATAAAAACCACATGATTATATTAATAAAGAAAAAAAAGATTTGATAAAATCCAGCACCCATTTATGATAAAAAAAAAAGCCTCTCAGCAAAGTGGGAATTGAGGGAATATACCTAAAAGTAATAAAGGCCATGAATGACAAACCTATTGCCTGCATCATACTTAATTGGCAAAAACTACAAGCACTTGCCTTAAGATTGGGAACAAAACAGGGATATCTGTGTTCATTTTTCTTATTCAGCATAGTACTGGAAGTCCTATCCACAGCAATCAGACAGAAGAAATAAAAGGCATCCAAATTAGAAAGGTAGAAGTAACTCTTTATTTGCAGATGGCATGATATTGTACACAGAGATCCCCAAATACTCTACCATGAAACTACCAGAACTGATAGATTAATTCAGAAAAATAGCAGGATACAAAATTAATATCCCGAAATCAGTTGGACTTTTATATGTCAAAAATGAACTATCAGAAAGGGAAATTAAGAAAATAACCCTATTCACAATTGCTTCAAAACAAATAAAATACCTAGGAATAAATCTAACTAAGGACATATAAGACCTGTCCTTTGAAAATCACAAGACACTGAAGAAATAGATGAAGATACAAATAAGTGGAAGCACATACCATGTTCATGGGTGGGAAGAATTAGCATCATTAAAATGTCCATACTACCCAAATCAATCTATAGATTCAATGCAATTCCTATCAAGATACCAAAGGTATGTTTCACAGAACTAGAACAAAAATTTCAAAAATGTATATGGGACCACAAAAGTTGTGCTGTATAGCAACAGCAATCTTGAGAAAGAACAAAATTGTAGTAATCGTGCTACCTAATATCAAACTATACTATACAGCCATAGTAATCAAACCAGCACGGTACTGGCATAACATTGACACATAAGTCAATGGAACAGAATAGAAAGCCCAGAAATAAACCAACACCTTTATAGTCAATTAATATTTGGCAGAGGAAGCAAGCATGTACAATGGGCTAAAGATAGTTTATTCAATAAATGGTATCAGTAAAATTGGACAGATACATGCAGAAAAATGAAAGACTGCTTTCTTATGCCACATGCAAGAATAAATTCAACAATAAAAAATGAAAAATAAATAAATAGGTACATGATGACATCTTGTTGGAAATTGACCATTTGCATTTCTTTTTTTTAATTGGTCTGTTTCTCTGGCATCAGAATTACATCTAGCTCTTTCAACAATTTTCTAGCTCCTTTTCTTAGTAAACTTTAGGAAATGTTATGATTTAGTAACAAGTTTGGCAAGGGATTACTGTGAACTTATTCCTGTTGGTTTTTTTTTAACAGTGATTAAAGAGCATAAGTAGGCCAACCTAGTAAGAATGATGATGCTATGAAGACAAGACTTAAATTTCCAGATTTCATATATAGTAGTCATGGTTGCTCTGGCTGTGGAATAGGCTCCCAGAATTGATCAGAAAGCCCACTGTGAAGATGAGGCAGAACAACAGCAAAAAAAGTCATATTATAGTGGATCTCTGACCTTAAAAGTTTTCTTTATATTACTTAGATGCCAAGCATCTGAATAAACAGTAATTTATCAGATTACTTAGATGCCAAGCATCTGAATAAACAGTAATTTATCAGATTACTTAGATGCCAAGCATCTGAATAAACAGATAATTTATCATAAGTAGACAGAACTACAAACTCTATGACAACTCTGAAATTTTTGTTTCAAATTTCTCTAATTTTTATTAGAACTGAACATTACTGAAAAAATAAGAAGCAAACAATGTAGCTTCATACAAAAATCGTAATTTTACAACTAAACAAGAATAGATGTTAATTGCAGTTTTGCCATTTTGCTGCCAGCATTGAAAATAAACAATACATTTTTAAAATTTATATTATAAATAAAAAATAAAAATTATTTTAAAGTGTATTTTATTGATTATGCTATTACAGTTGTCCCATTTTTTCTCCCCTTTTTTCCCCTCCACCCTGCACCACCCCCACACTGCCCTTCAGCATTGTCCCCACTGCTTAGTTCATGTCTGTGGGTCTTACATACATGTTCTTGGATTCTCCATTTGCTATACTATTCTTAACTGCCCCCTTAATCTTTAATCTTGGGGAATTTAATTATGGTGTGCCTTGGTGTGTTCTTCCTTGGGTCCAATTTCTTTGGTACTCTCTGAGCTTCCTAGACTTGCATGTCTATTTCCTTTACCAGATTGGGGAAGTTTTTCTTCATTATTTTTTCAAATAAGTTTTCAATTTCTTGCTCTTCCTCCTCTCCTTCTTGCATACCTATGATTCAGATGTTGTAATGTTTAAAGTTGTCCCAAATGTTCCTAAGGCTCTGCTCATTTTTTTAAATTCTTGTTTGTTCATTCTCTTCCAGTTGAATATTTATTTCTTCCTTTTGTTCCAAATCATTGATTTGAGTCCTGGTTTCCTTCCCTTCACTGTTGGTTACCTGTATATTTTTCTTTATTTCACTTTGTATAGCCTTCACTTCTTCCTTTATTTTGCATCCATACTCAATAATTTTTGTGAGCTTCTTGGTTACCAGTGTTTTGAACTCTGCATCTGATAGGTTGGCTGTCTCCTTGTTGCTTAGTTATTTTTCTGGATCTTTGGTCTATTCTTTCATTTGTGCCATATTTCTTTGTCTGGGTGTACCTGTTACATTGTAAGGGGTAGAGCCTTGGGTATTCACCAGAGCAGGGCAACCCACATTGTTGGGTTGTAGTGCTGTATGTGGGGGAAGGGTCAGAAAGGGAACAATGCTGCTTGCTCAGCTCTCATCCTTCTTTCAGTCACTTCCCCTACTACCCACAAGTGAATTGGGCCCTTCTGGTGCTGATTCCCAGGTGGGTGGGTTTATGTACATTCTAGGATCCCTTGGGTCCCTCTAACATACTCTCCTATGAGACTAGGAGTTTCTCCCAGCACCAGAACCCCCACAGCTTTTTACAGCCAGAGGTTTTGAGGCTTTATTTCCTTGCTGTGGAACCCCAGGTTGTGCAGTCTGTCTCTCTCCCCAGCTGTTCCTCCCACTTTATCCACACGTGAATGTGAACTGCCCTGTCTGCCAACTACTGCCTTGCTGTGAGTCCTCTCTACCCTGGCTGCCAGTCTCTACCCCTCCTACCAGCATGGATGAATATTTCTTCTTTAACTCCTTGGTTATTGGGACTTCCATACAGTTCAATTTTCTGGAAGTTCTCATGGTTTTTTGTTTCTGAATTGGTGGTTGTCCTTCTTTTGGTTGTGCAAGGTAGCAAAGCATATATTTCTGTGCCTTCATATTGGCTGGAAAAAATAAAAATTCTTTACCTCAGTTTCCTCTTTGTAAAACAGAAGTATATATCTGCCATGTAGTGCTGTTTTCAGAATAAGAAATATTAGTGCCTATGTTAGATACTTATTTTTTAAAAGATTTTATTTATTTATTTTTATAGTGAGGAGAAGGGAGGGACAAAAAGGGGGAGAGAAACATCAGTGTGTGGTCACCTCTCACACACCCCCTACTGAGGACATGGCTGGCTACCTAGGCATGTGCTGTGACTGGGAATTGAACCAGCGACCCTTTGATTCACAGGCTGGCACTCAATTCACTGAGCCTCACCAGTCAGGGCATAGATATTTATTTAATAATGGGTATTATCATTATGGTTTTTAATAATATATTGTTATTTATCCTATGTCCTCACTAATAACTAAATGCTACTTGCATACCTAGTACATTTTATTGTTTATATAGCTGTCACTACATAATAAGTATAAAGAAAATATAATGCTGATCAGACATAAATTTAGATATTTTAATTGTAATTTTCTTTCTTTCAGAATTACTTACTGTCATCTACCTTTCCAGAGTAAATGGCTCTATGTTGGAACAGAAAGAGGAAATACACATATTGTAAATATTGAATCTTTCATTCTTTCTGGATATGTTATCATGTGGAACAAGGCAATTGAACTGTAAGTATAAACTTGAGCATCATTTTATTTAGCTTAAGTATTTCTTATGGCTTGTAACATACATAAAATTGTAGTTATTTGAAACTTTAAAACTAATTTATGATTAATATGAGTGAAAAGTTCAGCCAAAATAATTTGAAAACATAAAGGCTTTTTACAATAGATATTGTAGTATTAACACATGCTAATTTTAGATTTTCCAAATACTGTAAGTAATTAAGGATACATGTGCCATATTTGATGATAAAATATTAATTCTAAAAGTCACACAAGGCAATCTTATCACATTCTTTATAGTCAACTTTAGTGTAACTACTTCCAATGAGAATGGTAAGTGGATTGTGGCTACAGTTAGTTTTATGTAAAAATAATCACAATCAGTTCACATACAGGGTGGGACAAAAGTAGGTGTACAGTTGTGAGTATGCAAAGCAGTTTATTCTTGAATTATTATTTATTAATTATTGTATTATTTTCCACATGAACAACTATAAACCTACTTTTTTAATATTAGCTTATTTTTCATTTGCCTCATTAACATATTTTTCTGGGCTCAAAGTGGAATCAATATTAATATTTTATGTTAATTATTACATAAAATTATTATAAACTTATGTTAATTATTATAAAAATTACTATTTTATGTATGTTATGATGTATACAGCTGTTTGGGTATGTGGCAATTACCACTCTGATTCTGATATCTACATTTCTGCAGGTATAAAATATGAAATCCCTCACACATGAAACTTCATGGAATTCTGAGCCATCTATTTGTAATATATACACAGACAATTCTCCTGGTTAATCAGAAAAACAATTTTTCTTTAATAAATGTTTATGTTCTATGTATTATTAGTTCCTTTATAAGATAAAGTTTTGACTTGAGTCTGGCTCATTCTCTCATATTCTCTCATAAGTATGTAATTTTTTCTTCCCCCAAATGCTGATTAAAACAGACTATTTTCATAAAGTTTTACTGTTGACTGTTCCATACCCCCAATGTTTCAACATACACATATTACTTAATAGGGAAGGTTGTTACTAGTTATATTCTTGTTACAATATTCTTTTTGAATTATCTCTTAGTGAGTTTTTTATTAATGACAATTTTTCTCTGTCATTAGATTAAGAGATGCTCTAGGGCAGAATTTTTGTTTATTGCTCTTTTCTTTTTCTTCATACTTGGTTTATTTTGACACTTTCCACAGAGTGGCTACGAAATGACTGACATTACTGAAGAGTTGCTATGATAGTTACACAGTACTATTGACTTACAGTTTTCATTTGTAATTTGTTATAACTATTTTGATTACATATATTTTACCATTCTGTATGTGTATTTTTAAAGACATTTATCCTATAAACAATTATGTCTCCACCAGAAAGATATTTACTTTTTTAGCTATTTGGTAATGGCTTTTCCCCCTATAATCTTAGTCCTATAATAGCAATAAACAGGCTGAATAACAAACATTAAATAAAAAAAGGATTTCAAGTAAGGACTTCAAAATAATTTTACATATCTCTTAAGTATCTCTTAATAATTAATGCTTGTTTTCATAGTACTGTTTTAGGATATGATAAAAACACAAGTAAGCCTGAGAGATCCAATTATAGAACTTCTATAAAACTTAATAGTAGTATAAATCATAACAGATGTACTATTTGTGTTCAGTTGAATGATGGTAAAATAATTAAGAAGAGTTTATTATCTGAACAGGTAAAATATTTTACCACTTTTTCAGTGTTGTTTCCACATTCATTTACTTAACGAATCCTTTTCTTAATCCAAATTAATACTACCTGAAATAGTGACTTACACTTTACCTATTTATATCTATATAATCTATGCTTTATGATTTCAGGACTAATTAAGAGTTTTAAAATGTATATAAAGGAGGGGAAACTCAGGAAAAATTAAAGTAAAATAAAGCACTTTTATTTTTCATAATATGATCCTACACGTGTAATTTGGCATCAGAATAGAATCTAACATCTATATGAATCCAGTGTTTTATAGAGTTGTACATGCCTCTGAAAATGTTCATGAAATATTCACATCATAACTGTTTTTGGTTTACTCACTAGATTTCCAAAAGTGTATTTTCATTTTTCTAGATATAATTTTACTTTAGTTTATTTTTTAAGACTCCTGGAGATTTTTATATAAGCTCTAGAACATCCATTTTAATAATAAAATATGTGTATACAAATAGAACATAGTTATTGTTTCTTTATTTGACAAAGTTTCCCGTGTACTTTAAGCATATCAAGTAGGCCTAATTAGTTCAAAATTTCTTCTTCATAAGGAGAAAGAATGAATCCCTGAAGCATTCCAGGGACCCTTTGGAATTACTCAAAGCCAATTTTAGGTCAAGAAAAGTCTCTTAAAAGTTAAACCCTGGGAAAGTTGTCAAACATATTTGACCAAAAGATTATATATCATTATGAAATAATATTATTTATTTATCCAAAGTGACAATAAAGTTGTCAAGCATAAATACAGGCTAGCCAAATTTTAGTTCTTAGGATAAAGAATATGAGTTTTTAAGTAATCAAGTACCTGATTACATAACTATGTAATGTAATACATAACTATATAACAATGTAATACATAACTATTTTTTAAAAATATATAGAATCTTTGCTTTCTAGGCAGATACAAGAAAACCTAGATATAACATAAATACCAACTTCCAATCTCCCAAAGACTTTTAAATGCCACTTCTTGAGATACAGAAGAAAATGCATATTACTTACTGTTAATATGTCAAGTACATGGGACAAAATGTGCATTTAATTAAAAAGTCATTTTACAAGAGAATTTTAGACACAAATTTTAACAATGCATTTTCTAAGCATGACAAATGCAGAATTGCCTTTAAGAGATATGTGAAATTATTTTGAAGTCCTTACTTGAAATCATTTTTTATTTAATTTTTGTTATTCAGCCTGTTGCTATTTTTGTGAAGTCTCCTAATTGTAATTAAATTCAATTCTCAAAAAAGAAAATATATTGATGATTTGGAAACTGGAAGACATTTTCCATATAAACAGTGATGTTTGTAGAATATCTCATCTACAGCCATACCACCTGAACACGCCTGATCTCATCTGCAGAACATCTCACAAAGTAGTATTATAGAACAAAACTAACATTAAAAATATTTCTGTGGGAAAATATATTCTAGTTTATAGCACAGAAATAGCTGTGTCTATAGGATAACCCTAGCTCTTCAAAAAATGTAACCTATTTTTTCTATATATTAAAATGTGAACATGAAATTCTGAATTAAATCATAAGTATAGGAGCTTTATTAATATTTAACTACTGCTCATTGAGACATATTTATCATACAATAAATATAAATACAATATTTATTGTATTTATCATACAATAAATATGTCTCAACGAACAGTAGTATGATATGGTAAATACATAATTTCTGCTTACTTGGGGGCTTCCATTCTAATAAGGATTAGATTATTTAAAAAGCCAATTACAATGTATTAGAAATATAATGTGGCAATTCCATGAGGACACCTGATAAAGACATGGGGTCTCAGAGAAGTATCTGTGAAGTAATTTACATCTATGCTGAGATCTGAAGGACAAGTTTGTTAGATGAGTGAAGAACTAAGGAGATGCGGGAGGGTGTTGCAAGAAGTGGGGACAGAGGCTTACAGGATGGAAATGTGAGAGAGTTTTTGTTCCATGCCTCAGTTTTAAGTAGTTTAGTTAGTTGAAATGGCTGGGGGAGAGGATAGCAAAGATAAAACAGAAAGTAATCTGGGTATATAACATGACAGGTCTTATAAGATAATTTGAGAAGTTTGGACTTTTTCTAAGGCCAGGAGCTAGATTTTGAAGAGTTTTAAGCAAGGAATTGACTGGATCAAATTTACATTTTGGAAGATACTCTGACTGCAGGTATGGAGAAATGAGAAAAGACTGTATTCTCAGTAAAAATTATGATGGTGAATTTTGGAGTGGAGATAAGCTAACATAGTAAAGAAGTAAAAGATAGAAGCTGCAAGACTTGGGTATTACAGGAAGATATAAAGATAATAGGGAAGAATTAAAAATGACCCCCAGGTGTTTGGTTTAAGCAACTATGTAGGTTAGAGTGCCACTTAGTGAAAGAATGCAAGAGGTTGAATAGGTTGGAAGTAAAATAATGAGTTCAATTTTAGGTTGGTTGATTGTATGTGTTTATAAAGCATTCACCTGGAATTGGTATGGGAGAATGGTAGGTAGGATATAGTCAACAGGGTGGGGTAAAAATAGGTTTACAATTGTGAGTATGTGAAACAGAGTTTATTCTTGTATTATTATTAGTTATTGTATTGTTAATGAGAACAGAATTTTCATTCTCATCGAAACCATGAGAATAGATGAGATTGTTCTTGAAGAGTTTATAGGAAAGAGGTAGCAAACTAGTAGACAATGAATCACAGATATGACATTAACAGACAATTCACAGACATTCACAATGAATCTGTGAATGAATCAATTCACAGATATGTTTTATTTGGCCATTAGAATATTTAAATATGTCTGAATTATTAATTTGTAACATTTAAAAATTGTAGAGATAAAAGTTCAAATTTTGACCTTTTTATGAAAAAGATTCATACTGAGACAATTCTAGTCCAGCGTTCTTGCATGGCAGTCAGTGATTAACTGGAAGTGAGTTAAATCTATCATTTATTAGATGGGTAATATGCTATCCAATTTAGTACAGTTCTTATTCAGCCTATTTAACTCATTTGAAATACCTGCCTGGCTCCTGTGGGCTCTTGAATTCATGGCCACATTTAAGAGGGAAATATATGGCAGTCTAGGACAGAAAACAAAAGAATACCAATATTTAAGGTATGGAAACAGAAAGTTCATGAAGAAAACTATCAAGAGCCATTGTGGTAAGTGGAAGAAAGAGATATAAATAGGGATACTTAGAAGAATTACTGGGCATTATTTGATAGGTATATATGAATTTAAATTTATTGATAATTTTACCTGATGTAATTCTTGTGGGATTCACAGAATCTGGAGTGTACAGATGCTATTCTTATTTTTTAAAGTCAACTTTTAATGGCCATAGGTTTTGCAAGGAATGCTTGGTGATTTTTTGGAAGTTTAATGTCAGGAAAGAGGTCAGAAAAATTACATCAAAATGTCAGTCATTATTTCTAGGCAGTGAAATAATGAGAGATGTTTCCTTTTAACTTTTGGTATTTTCTGAGTTTTATTTTTTACAATAAATTACATTTCTTATAGCATTATAAAATAATTACAAACAGTAGAGATTTAATGCTAGATTATTTTCTGAACTTGAGTGTTTTCTAAAGCCTGAGAACTTGAATGGAAGTCTTGCAAATCATCTAACTAGTGTTTCTCAAGGTATATTTCAGTGATTTCCTTAAGGATAATAAAAAGGATTCTGTTGATCAATAATTTTGGAAAATATTGAACATTTGCATTGCTCATTTGCACAATATAGCCCTAAGAAGTTCTTCAGAAAAAGAAAATGTTTAATTGCCCCATTCAGCGCTTCCCAAACTTTTTTTGATATGAAACATTGTGAAATGCCTTATATGTTCAGTAGTTTATCATGGACTACACTTTGGTATTTGTTGCTCCAATCAAACCCAAGAGAGAGATAGGAGTTTATGATTTGTTGGATATTATTAGTTCCTCAAGGATAATCGAGGTACATTGTTCCTTCTCAGAGGCATTTATACTATAATAAAACACTACATTTATGTGTAAGTGATATAACTGCTAAAAGCTCTGTAAACTTTTTATGAAGCCTTGTTTAGTTTCTTTCTGCCTGCATATATTCCAGAATGCAAATAGTAACTCTGATTTCCATTATTCCAATGATTTACAACAATCATAATACATACTATTTATTGAGTACTTACTATGTTTTGGCATTATATTAGGTGCTATATGTATCTTTTAATCCTCACAGTCCTTTACTAGGGTTAGTGCTACTACCTCCATTTTCAGATGAGAAAATTTAAGACAAAACCACTAACAAAATATCTAATAACTTTGTATTTATTCATTTGAGTCACTCAGGGGAGTCAGTATTTGGGGAACCTGGAGCTACATAATTTGTCACTTTTCTCTGATTCCAAAGAGTTTCTAAAATTTAAATTTTTATTGCTTTATACAGAATCTTTGATGATTTTTCTGTTTTTTAAAAATAAATTATATTGTGCCAGTATAATCATAATAGAATTAATCTGGTGCACTTAGGTCATTGAAGAAAGAATGTGGAGATTTGAGAAATCAGCGGTCATATCAGGTCATGTCATAGTCATGACACAATCACATTCAACAGTGATCTAAGTTAAAGTAGAAAATATAAAATAAACATACCAGATATCATAGCAGAATAAATTTAAAGTCATATTGACAGAATACAGATCTCTTTATCAATATGCTCTTAAACTCATAATGATCTATTACCAATTACCCTAGAAACCAGATAAATGAGACGTAACCAACAAACTGTTTCCCTGGTTGGTCAGTGTTCTGTATGCTAGTTACCACTAGAGAGAGAATTTTCTTTTAAATAGAAGGAACTTCTGTACTTTTTGTAGGCACAAATCAGAAATTTTATGTCAAAATGAAATTTTAAATCAAGTATGAACTTTTCAATTTGGCTGAAACAGGTTTGCAGCATCAATGTTGTGGTTGTGTAAGTTTTCCTTTGTTTGGATAAGTATGTGTTTAATTTCAAATTTTCAGAGGCCCTGATTTGGCAACAAACACATAAGATAATGAAGAATCCCATTGTTATGTGGATCTAAGTTTTTAAACCTGATTTTTTTAAAAAATCACACCTTCTTTAATAATGTTAATAGGAAAGAGAAAAGTAATCTTAAAGGAAAACAACACAAAAGTCAAATGAATTTAAGCTAAACCCCAGAATATTGGAAGTGTATTCCAGTATAATCTTAGTTTCTTTGTGCCTGTCTCTAGTGGAAAGGTGTTTTAATGTTTATTTTTTAATTACTTTTTTAAATTGATTTAACAGATCCACAAAGACTCATCCAGGTCCAGTTGTACATTTAAGTGATAGCCCAAGAGATGAAGGGAAAGTGAGTATTCCAATACCATTATTCTTGCATTTATTTTCTTCATTCTTGAATAAAGGTATTTATTACTATTATTTGATACCTAACATCTCTAGCACAGTTCATGACATTCAGTGTCATTTAAGATTAGAATATGTTGAATGAATGAATGAGCAAATATTAATAAATGAATGAATGAATTATTCACTCTAATAATGGTACCAAATTAAGTCTTTAGTTTTACCTGAAGGTAAAGTTGATATTTAATTGTAGAATGCTGAGGAAGGTGTGTAACACATGGTACAATTTTAATTTTCAGATAGTCTGTGCTTGAATTTAACAATATAGTTTTTAGTATTGTTAATCATTGGCTTCTGCTATTCAGTTTTGATAATGATCAGTAACCAATATTGAATAATCATAAATTAGCCAATCTTGATTTTTATAAGTAGGTGATAATATAGAAAATGTTCTCAGATTATAGAAGTAATCCTATTCACCTTGATTATTCAGAATCTTCTTTTGATGATAATGAAACAAAGTTAATAACATAAAAAGTTCTGAAGTGTCACTTTTATGTAAATATTGTTTCTTCAAGTGTATAATTTTGGTTATGTAATATAAAAACACTTGAATAAATTATTTAGCTTAGGTTTGGTTCTTTGTTTATTTTTAAATGATAGAAACTGAACTAGCCTAATAAATATTGAACCTGAAAAACAAATTGGCCTCATGGCAATAGAAAGAACATTGGATTTTTTCAAATTGATCCATAAACATGGTATAATTCCAATCAGATGTTATCAAAATTTATTTATTTTTAAAGAATTCAAAAGCTGATTCTAAAATTCATAAGAAAAAGAAAATGTTTAAGAGTAGTCAAGACATTTTCAAAAAAGAAATACATTGTGATATTGGTACAAGGGTATAAAGAAGATCAATAGATATTCAGAAATGGTTCAGACATTTGGGAGAATTTTGCACATTTTAGAGATGTTTTAGAACATGATATACTATTAAGTAAATGGTGTTAGACAATTGGCTATTTGGTTTAAATAAAATGGTACAACCTCTACCTCATACCACTCAGAAATAAATTCTAGATGGAGAAAACATATAAATATTAAAATTGCAACTCAGGAAGTTTTAAAAGACACTGTAGGAAATTGGTTGTTACTGTGAAATAAGGACATCCTCAGGCAAGATACAAAGCCTAAAAGCTTGAAGGACTACAGCATAACAAGACAATCATGATAAGAGACAAGCATCAAAGTAGGGGGCGGTATTTGCTACATATACAGCAGGCAAATTATGAACATGCAAAATATGTAAAGAACTTTACTAAATCCTTTTATTTCATAATAGGAAATAAGTAATGTCTAATTAATAAAACAAAAAGTGGCAATATGCATATATTTAGAAACATGGAAGAGTAAGTCTACTGGAAAATATAGTTTTAAGAATTGAAGGCATGGTGCCCTTGTTACCTTTAAGAGAGCATGGTTTGGCAGTGAGGAAGAAACAACTTCACTAATAATCACTAAGGAAATGCAATATACCATTTTCTTCCTAATCAGAGTGGCAAAATATTAAAAATTAAAAATAATATTAAGTAATGGAAAAGGCATTGAGAAATGGGCATCTAGAATCAGCAATATGGGCAATTTGGCATAATGAACATTTAAAACATGTATTTATTATGACCTGGAAAATCCATTTCTGATATCTAACCTATTCACATGACCAAGGGACAAGATTTTGAAAACAGCCTAAAAGTCTATTAATAGGTAGTAAATGAATGCTTATATATTCATACTGTAGAACACTGTGTTGATATGGAAAGTCCTTTAAGCCACATTTTTTAAACCACACTTTTTAAAATTGTTGTTCAATTATGGTTGTCCCCATTTCCCCCCCATTATTTTCCTCCACCCTACCCACCCCCACCTCCCACATTCAATCATCCCCGCCCTCCCCCTACCTCCACATCTTTGTCTGTGGGCCCTTTATACATGTTCCTTGATGACCTTTCCCATTCTTTTTTCCATTATCTCTCTCCCTCCTCCCCTCTGGTTACTGTCAGTTTGTTCTTAATGTCAATGTCTTTGGTATATTTTGCTTGCTTGTTTGTTTTGTTGATTAGGTTCCACTTATAGGTGAGATCATATTGTATTTGTCTTTCACCACCGGGCTTACTTCACTTAACATAATGCTACATTTTAAAAAAAAGCTGCATAACCATAAATACAATGTAAAACCACTTAAATAATGCATTTGTATTTTTACTTTTATATTCAAATATCCAAGAGAGAAAGCCTGAAAGTATATGTATAAATCTGGGGAGAATACTGGAGATTGGAAAATGGTCAAAATTATCCTTATTTTACTTGTGTTGTTCAAAGTTTTATGAAGGAATAAAATTTGTGTTAATTGTATAATTTAGAAAAATTAGTATTAGAGTCAGAAACTATATGTTTGAATTATGGCTCTACTACTTACTAGCATATATCCTTGAATAAATCCTTAACTTCTTATAGATTAGTTTTTTCATCTGTAGCCTTTTGTCATGTAGAAGTTTTTTATTTTATTACTTATTTTTATCAGTTTTAATCTGATTCCTGCATTTTGTTTCTTAGTAATGTTTCCTTTTCTGGGAGAAAATATAATCCTATTATTTTCTATTAGTTTTAAGGCTTTCCATTTTAAAATTAGATTTTAATCTATATATATATAGTTTATTTTATTTTGGTTTGAGATAAGGGTATACTTTTGTTTTAAAAATACTTTTTAAAAATACAGTATATTTTATTTTTACATGTAAATAATTAATTTATTGAAATAATCAATTCGATTTCCACTGATGTATAAGGACATCTCATTCATATATCAAGTTCCCATATTGGGGTGGGTCTTTCTCTGGGCTTTTTACTCTGTTGCACTGCTATATTTATTGTTTTACTAATAGCACATTTTAATAACTTCACAAAATATCTTGATATCTTGTAGTCCTCCTCCTCCCTTTCCTATCTTAGCTTTTTCCTACCATTTATTCTACTATATGAAATTTAGAATCAGTTTATCAAGTTCTGTGTATATCCCTGCCAGGATATTGTTTGCAACTTGGACATGCCAAATAATTTAGAAAAAATTTATATCATTAAGATATAAACATAATATACAGGGTGGGGCAAAAGTAGTTTTACAGTTATTAGTATGAAAAATAATACAAAAATTAATAAATAATACAAGAATAAACTCTTTTATATACTCACAACTTGCCCTACTCTGTACTTAGCTTGGCTCGCTTTTATGTTTTTCTATATACCTTTATGACTTCTTTTACAAAAGTCTTATATATCTTTTGCTACCTTCATCTTAAGTGCCTTATAGATTTTGTTGCTCCTGTGATTAACGTTTTAAAAATCAATTTTATACTTGAATTTTAGCATATAAAATATTGATTTTGTTATTTTGTATTCAACTATAGCACTGAATGTTTTGTTTTTAAAGCTATCCTTAGATTTTCAGGAATATTCTCTATGTAAAAGTATAGCAAATATAGACAAATTTTATTTCTTTGTTTCAATATTTATAGTTTTTATGTATGTATTTGTTTTGTTGCATATGAACTCAGTGCAATGTTGAATATAAATGGTTTTAATGGGAACTTTATTTTGTTTCAAACCACAAAGGAAATGCCTCCAAGATTTTAACATTAAGTAAGATGTTTGCTTCAGGTCTTTGGTTGATTGCTTTTATGAAGTTAAAAAGTTTTCATTTATTTTTAATATCCTAAGAGTTTTAAATTATTAATGGCTTCAAATGCTTTTCCACGTATATTGAGATGTGATTTGTGCTGGTCTCAGCCTATTGATAGAGATGCTATTGGCTAGAAATGCCTCAGGGCACACATCTGAGTCTGAGGTGAGACCCCACAGACATCTCTCTTTTTGGAGTCAGTGTTGTGGCTCGACTGGCCCTTGTGGATATTTTATGATTGCAAAACACACCTCAGCAACAACCACCAGGGAGCTTTGACAAGCAAGATTTATTATTCACAGGTCCTGGAGGGCAAAGGGCATGCCTGGGGCAATAGAAGTAAGGTCATGGGTAGGGAGAGCAACCATCTGGACCTGGGGTTCTGCTTTTCTAGGGGTCGAGTGTGGGGACCCTAGGGTTTAGCAGTTTCACTTTTTATTGGAAAATTTAATATGTAAGAGCAGTAAAATGCAGAAAGGGAAAAGCAAACCATCAGTCAAATTGTCAGTTGTCTAAATCAACCTAAGTTTTTTAAAAAACAAGGGAAGAGGGGGGAGTAGAAGAGGGTAAAGGTGGGGTAAATGGTGATGAAAGTAGACTTGAGCTGGGATGAGTGGTAAACATACAATACAATACACAGATGGTATATTTATTATAGAATTGTATACCTGAAACCTATACAATTTTATTAACCATCATTACTCCAATAAATTCAATTTTTAAAAAAGCTAAAAATAAGCCCTGGCTGGCATAGCTCAGTGGATTGAGCGCGGGCTGTGAACCAAAGTGTCGCAGGTTCAATTCCCAGTCAGGGCACATGCCTGGGTTGCAGGCCACAGCCCCCAGCAACCACACATTGATGTTTCTCTCCCTCTCTCCCTCCCTTCCCTCTCTAAAAATAAATAAAAATAAAATCTTTAAAAAAAAAAGAAGGAAATCTTACCTTTTAAAAAAAGGCTAAAAATAAGGGAATTCATGGGTGGTGCAGGTCTTTATCTAGTCTTGTAGCTGACAGTGAGTTTATTGGAGATGGATGTCCTTTAACAGGGTGCCTTGGCAATTAAAAGCTTATGTCAGGCACTTACATTACAATAAAAAAGCTAACTGTCAGGCTACAAGGTGATTGTTCCTTGTTATGTTATTTTGTTGAAATATGTTAATAGGTCTTTTAATTTTAAACACTTTTGCATTTCTGGGATAAATTCAACCTAGAAGGGGAAAGCTTCCATTGAGGCTTGTTGGTGAAGTGAAAGAAGGAATAAATT